GGCGCCCGAATAATCCGGGTTAACTCGGGCCCGGGGTAATTCGGGCTTGGATTCCCGAAAAACTAACCCGAGATAGCCCTGACCCGAGTTACCCCTGATGCTCCGGGCTCTGGGCGCCCGAATTATCTGGGGGGACTCCCGAGAAACGAACCCGAGTTAGCCCTGACCCGAGTTACCCCTGATGATGCGGGGCTCTGACCCACGGCGTGCTCCCGTGGAAGAGCTTCATGCCTTCCGACAGCAACGCGGGAGCAGCACGCTAACGGGCTGCCAACGCCAGCGTGTCACTGATGCTCCCCTCCCCTCCCTCCCGCGGAGTGGCCCTCGGGAATCTCCTGTCCCGGGTCACACCCGGGTCAGTCAGGCCTAGCAGGATCTTGCAAGATCCTGCACGATCCTGCACCCAAACCCGGGTCAATGCGAATTGAGCAGGATTCGACCGTCCCGGCATTCCATTTGGCCTACCACGAAATATTCTTAGAACCCAGAAATGTTCTAAGAGCACAACGGTGTTCTTAGAACAGAAAGCCGACGTGTTAAAACAAGACAGCCCCAGCAAGATCTGTTCTGAGAACATGTCGTGGAAGCCACAAAAGGTTCTTGGAGCATTCTTGGTAGGTCTATGGGCGAGCCAAGACGCTGCGCCACTGCTTGAGCGAAGGATCCTCTGCTGGGAAGGCCGGCTACTGGGAGTCCCGAAACGGTGCGGTGACAGACCGTGCGATGACCTCGAAACCCCCAAGACCTCACCGCACGGTCCGACACCGCACGGTCTTGGGACCCCGGAGGCCCCTGTCGCCCGAGCCGTCCTCGGAGAACGACCCGAGCCCCAAAACCGTGCGGTGACCCCGAATCCCAACCGACTCACCGCACGGCGTGGTCACCGCGCCGTTTGGGGGCCCCCGAGGGAAGGCCGGCTCCCCGCCCTCGCGATGCCCGGGGATGGGCATAGGGGAGGATGCATCGACCTGGAATCGGCGATACATCGCCGATAGATCGGCGATGGGCCTCCGATAGTGAATCCGCACCTCCCTGGGCAGGTCGGGGCTATCGGACCCCTGTCGGCGATCAATGGGCGATGGGGGGCCGATGCATCCCCCCCTGTGCCCCCCCCCCCCCTACCGTTGCCCCTGACGCCCTCGCTGCCCTTCCCCCCGTGGGCGCCCCCCTCCCCGCCGCCCCGAGGGCAGGGCAGCCGCCCGCGGGCGCGCCCGGGGAGCGGATCGAGCAGGGCAGGGCGGCGCAGGGAGGCGCCCAGGACGGCGACGACGACGGCGGCAGCGACGGCGACGGCGACGAGGCCAACGACGACGACGATCGCAACTCTCACAACGATGCCAACGATCACAATGCGGGCAAGACGTGTATGCATATCCAGTGCGTCTTGAACCTTTTTGGAGGGGGGCGCCTCAAGGCAGAGGCGCACTGGATATGGATAAAAGAAACCTGGCCTCGAGGGGGGGGCAAACTGATCCATATTCCGCGCGCCTCGGGTTTCTGGGGAAGGGACCCCGAAACTCCATACTGCAGAAGATATGGACAGAAGCACTACCCGCACACAACTCTCACCGGGCAACTGATCGCTGTCATCGTTGCGATCGTTCGTAGTTCTGGGGCTCGGGGTGGTGTTCCGTCCGCGCGGCACGGGCGCCGCGGCACGGGCGCCGCCGCCGCGGCCACCGGATCGGGAGGCCCAGCGGCCCCGATGGGCTCTCCGCGGGCCAAAGAACTTGATGCCACGCGGCTGCCACGAGAAAGCGAGCCAAAAGGTCGCAAATCCGACCTGAAACAAGCAAACTCGCGAAATGAAGCGAACCGAACCCTCAGAACAAAAAAAAAAACAAAAAACAAAAAACTGACCGCAAGGGGGAGGGAAACTGTACACCACCCTGCTTCTGCGCGTCCCGCGCGGCTCCGGAGGAGAGATGCATCATGCATGGAAAACTGTCCCGTCCTTCCGGTGGGGCCCGCTGCCCTGCCCTCGGCCCTGCCGCCGCCGCGTCCTGGAAGAAGTTGTCGATCTTCGACTTCGCCCACGTGGGGCCGCGCTGCATGAAGAGGGTGGCGAGGCAGCGGTAGACGAAGGCCTGCGAGCGGACGCGCCGAAGAGGGGGGGCACGAAGAGGGCGGGGCGCAGCGCGGCCTGCTGCACGTGCTGCTGCACGTGAGGAGGGGAGGAGGAGGAGAAGGGGAGGAGGAGGAGGAGGAGGAGGAGGAGGAGGAGGAGGAGGAGGGAGGAGGAGGAGGAGGAGGAGGAGGAGGAGGAGGAGGAGGAGGGGTAGGAGGAGGAGGAGGAGGAGGAGGAGGAGGAGGAGGAGGAGGAGGAGGAGGAGGAGGAGGGAGGAGGAGGAGGAGGAGGAGGAGGAGGAGGAGGAGGAGGAGGAGGAGGAGGAGGAGGAGGAGGAGCAACCAGGAGGAGAAGGAGGAGGAGCAGGAGGAGGAGGAGGAGCAGGAGGAGGAGAGGGGGAGCCATGAGATCTGGGAGATTGAATTGCCCGGCCATGATACCAAATCCCCCTCTATGACAACCGTGCGAACCGATCCCCATCCCCATTGGCCTGGCCCTGGCCCCAAGTGGCCACTTTGCCCACCTAGGTGGGGATGTGTGCCTGTCCCCTTTGGGGGGGGACGTACCCCAACCCATGAGGGTGGCTATGTCGGTCAAGCCCGCCGATCACGATGACGATGACCTCGCGTCAGCGATGAAGGTTGTTTGCGGGAGATCGCATGCGCGCGCGGCCGACGCGCGCGAGCCGCGAGCGCAGGATGTGTTTGAAAACTTGTGCTGCAACACCCTGTGAATATATGGTTTCGGAACACTCGTTCTTGGAATCCGCGCGAAACCTAATGTGTTTTGAAACACTGCGGCATGTGCGCGCGCGACGACGCGCGCACGTGCATTCTGTCATATTTGTTGCAAAGGGATTTTTGCGACAGCACGCGCGGGAGTTTGCGAACGAATTCGACATGCGCGCGTTAAGATCCGCTCGGTCGCATGTTATGAGACACGTTGAGAAACGATGGTTCCGTAAGACTCCGCAAGAGCGCGGGCGCAGGCTATTGTTGAAAACCCTCGTTGCGAAACCTGTATGAGTTGATATGGTGTCGTGGCTCGGTTGTGACCATTACGAAATCAAAAGTGTTGAAGAACGTCGGCATGCGCGCACGACGACGCGCGCGTGCGCAGTTCGTTCCATTTATGTTGCAACGGAGCCTTGGCAACTGCTCACGTTTGGAAACGAGCGCGCGCGCATAATATTTTTCGCATGGGATGACAGGGGGGGGGCTGATGCCCGGCCTGCCTGGTATGGTACGAACTCATATTTAGGATGGACGATGAGGCAGTACCATGTGTCAATTGGAATACACAAAATATACTGTTAAGCCCAGGGGGAGTGGATCTTATTTGTTTACAAAAAACGAAGAGATATGTTGTACATTCTACGTTGTGCAATCAACGTGGGGAAATCTACTTTGTGCACCCTTCGTGGTGCAATCGACGTGGTGCAAAATATAATGTATATTGTAATGTGTGGAACCTCTGCGAAGCAATCTGCGTGGTGCAGTCTGTGAAATAACATTCACCCCGCCGAACTTGAAGTTCTCAACCCCACTGCTTGCGAAGTCTCCTACCAACCCGCACACTGGTTTGCAACACTTGTGCGGCGGGGATTGCGATGAGTGCTTGGTACTGGCTGGCACATGTATGCGGCCGCGCTGGCCCGCGCATGCTCGTGCGCGCTGCGGCCAGATACGTTGGCGCAACCGACGCGACCGCGGTGGCGCTGACCGCCGGGCACTTCCCAGCAGGCACTTCAATGCGAGTCGGCGAATTGGGCGGGCGCGGTATCATGGCAACTTCAACAAGGGTAGACGCGATGATAATAGTAGCGATGCTGGCGACAATGATGACAAAAACGACGGCACGGCCAGTGACGGCGCCGACGCTGACCACGCCGACGACGATAACGGCGTTTTCGTCTCCCCGACACGCGAAGGCGTTTAGCAAACGCGCCCAAGTAAAGAATCAAACAAGGCAGGGCTGTTTAATAAACGCCCAAGGCCGTTTAGTAAACACCAATTGTCCGGTCCGGGTGGTTTTTCCTCCCTTGAGTTTTGGAAGTACATTGACTTGCGCGCGCGGCCGACGCGCGAGAGTGGCCCGCACTGTATCAGTCGACGCGGATCGTGCCCCCCCGACAACACGCGCTAGGGCGGCCGAATGATTTCGACATGCGGCGCGCAAACCCCGTGTGGCAGCATTTAAAAACCGATGGTCTTCAAAAGAATCCGCAAGAGCGCGAACGCAGGTTGATTTGAAAATGTTGTTGCACAACCACACGTGTGTTACATGCTTTCGGGACGCTCGATCTTGAAATCCTTTCGAAATCTAAGGTTGTTTTGCAAGATCCCGGCATACGCGCGACGACGCGCGCGTGCGCACCTCGCCCCGTCTGTTGCAAGGGAGTCTTGCGACAGCTCGCGCGCAAAGGTGATCGAGCGATTGCGACATGCGCGCGCGAGCAACCCGTTCGGTTGCATGCTATGAACATGTAGGAAAACAGAGGGTCCTCTTAAGAACCCGCAAGACCGCGAGCGCAGGATTAGTTTGAAACCCGTTGCAAGACCATGTGTTTGTAGTGTTCGTGACTGCCGATCTTGAAAACCTTTCGAAGTCCATGGTTTCTGAATGATTTTGGCATGCTCGCGCGACGACGCGCGCGTGCGCATTTCGTCGCATCCTTGGCAAGGAATTCTTGAACACTCTTCACTATTGACGAACGAGTGTGCGCGCAGGCATGTCTGGCAGATGACGAAGGGAGGGGTGACGCCTGATGAGCTGGGATACTACGAACGCATAATTCGGATGGGCGGTGGGGCAGAATCATATGTAAATTGCAATAGAACAGGGTCCCGTTAATTCTGGGGGGGGATCGTGATATTCTTTTGAAGATAAAACTGAATGTTGCAGAACTTGGAATTGCCAATTCCACTGCTCGCGCAGTCATCCCATCCACGCACCTGCAGCGGCGAGTGCGATGAGCGATTGGCGCTGGCTGGCTCTTCTCCGCGACTGCGCTAGCCCACGCATGGCAACGTGTCAGTTTTAGACAACCGCGCTCCACGACTCGCAAAGTAACTACTCGCAAATGGCTTGATCCGCCATGGGTGATTTACGGTACACTCCACTGATGCAGACATGTGTTTTCCAGACGTTTGCGAGTATGCACTTTGCGGGTCGTGGAACGCGTTCGGTGAAGTTTGGCGCAACCGGCGCGGCCGCGGTGGCGCTGACCGATGAGAATGTCAAGCGCCGCGTTTCACAAGCCGCGCTGGCGCGCGGACACTCAGTGCGGGTCGGTGAGTCGGGCGGGCGCGGTATCGGGGTGACGTCGACAACGGCGGAACGATGATGATGACAGCGATGCTGGTGACGGTGATGATGATGAAGTCGGCAAGGCCGATGTCGGCGCCGACGCCGGTGGCGCGATGGCGATGGTGATGTCCACGCGTCCGCTGATGAAACATTGGGAAGATTTCGAAGTGCGCGCGCGGACGACGCGCGCGAGTGACCAGCATGGCAGTCGAGTGACCCCAGCAAAAGCCGGCGCTTTCGAATGATTTCGACATACGAGCGCGAGAGGCCCGCGTGGTCGTATCTGACGATAATATAAGACATACCAGCTTTTAGTTTGGAGTTCGCAAAAAAGCGCAAAACAATTGTTTGAACATCGCTGTTGCAAAGCCACGGGGTGTTCATATGTTTCCAGGGACCTCGGTGGCGAAATCCGCACGAACTTACAGTGTTTGAAGTTTGCCCGCGCGCGCGCGACGACGCCTCAGTCTGGACGCTGTTCCACTTTCCCAAACGGTGTTTGCCCTTAGGTTTTCTCGGTTGGTTTTTAAGGAAACTGGCTGGTGTGGCGGTTCGGCGGCTGTGGAGTCGCTGTCGCCGCCCCGTCGCCGCCTCGTCGCCGCCTGCCTGGGAAAGTGTGGCGGTCTGACGGCTATGTTGTTGCCGTCGCCGCCCCGTCGCCGCCTCGTCGCCGCCCGCCGCATGGGCATGTGTGGTGGTCCGTCACTTACGTCGTCGCCCTCGCCGCCGCGTCGCCTCCTCGTCGCCGCTCGTCGTCTGGACCTGTGTGGCGGTCCGACGGTTGTCGTCGCCGCTGCCCCGTCGACTCTCCTGTCTTGAGGATATGAACTCTACCCCCCTCCCCGGGCTGAAGGGCTCCTCGCATTGCAATTCACATCTGATTCTGCCTCATCGCCCATCCTAAACATGAGGTCGTATTGTCCCAGCTTCACCGGCATCGCCCCCCCTCATCCTCTGCAATAGATACTACGCGCGCGCACTCGTCTATAAAAAATCGTCAGTGTTCAAGAATCCCCTGCAACAGTTGGTACGAAGTGCACAAGCGCGGGTCGTCGCGCGCGTACGCTGGAATATTTTAAATCAAAAAGTCGTAAGACATTCAAAATCGAGTGTCCCGAAATTTTTTCAGGAAAACATATAGTTCCCAAACAATGATTTTCAAACAACAATCGTGACTCTTGCTGGTTTTTAACAAAACCATACATCTTCAAGATGTTCATGCGTTGCTACCAAAAGGGCCTGTCGCGTGCGCATGTCGGAATCGCATGAACGCCCTTGCGCGCGTGCTGTTGCAAGAATCCCTTGCAAAAACTTGGCGAAATGCGCGCGCGCGTCGTCGCGCGCGCCCTCCTCCCCCACCTCCTCGTCCCTCTCCGCGCTCTCCTCTCCCTCCCTCCCGGTTCACCTCCTCCCTCCTTCCTCCTCCCTCATCCGTCCTCCCTCCTCCCTGCCTCCTCCCGCCTCCCTCCTCCCCGCCGCCTCGCTCCGTGCCCCCCCTTTGAAGTTCTTGGCCCCGTCCGGGCCCCCACGGGAGGGCCCTGCCCCGTGGCCCGCGACTGGGTGCGGCTCGATCGACGGAGCCGCAGCGGACGAGGGGCCCCGGGAGGGGCCCAGGCTCCGGCCGGGGCCCGGACCAGGATAAATCGTTTCAGGACGTCCGGGCCCACGGTCGGCTGGAGTCGAGGGGTGGAGAGTGAATCGACGGGGTCGAGTCAGGTAGGCTCAGGAAGAGGGCAGCTCGCAGAATGCTCTCAGAGCGTTCCAGAGCGCTCTAGAAGCCGCGGCCGCCCGATGCAACTCCCAGAACCGCCTGGTCTCAGAGATCCTCGATTTGTGCAGGTCAGATTTTTTGTCCCGGTCCTGGCTTCGCCTTGTTGCCAGGGATCTATCTTGAGCTGGCTCTGGCCAGGGAGGAGGAGGAGAAAGAGGACGAGGAGGAAGAGGAGGAGGAGGAGGAGGAAGACGAGGAGGAAGAGCAAGGAGGAACAAGGAGGAGCGAGGGGATGAGAAGGAGGAGCGAGGAGGAGGGAGCGAGGAGGAGGAGGGAGCGAGGAGGAGGAGGAGGAGGAGGAGGAGGAGGAGGAGGAGGAGGAGGAGGAGGAAGGAGCGAGGAGGCAGGACGCAGCCCAGGAGTGCCCCCCGGTGCGGTCGGGCCTGGCGGACTCTGTCCAGGCTGACGGAGACGCCCGGCACGGCGAAAACGGTCTGCTCCACCTCCTCGACGTCGCTGCTCGCTCCTGGGCGCTCGGGCCGCCCCCCGCCCCCCCGGCGAGAGGCGCCCGGGGGCCCCGCTGGGCGAGCGAGGGGCAGGGCAGGCCCAGACCGGGGGGAGCAGGGACCTGAAAGGGGCCCAAGGACACACAGACAAGTACACACACCCCAGGATAGCCCACTGTTTTCTGTACTTCCTGGGTGTTCGTCTTCCCCCCCACTTCCCATATGATCCTATCTTTTCGTCGAAATCGACGATCCATTGTGTCTGAATGTTTTTCCCCTCCCAAAGAGGGCAGGCCCGAAAATTCCTCCTGAGCCTCCAGTGGCCCTTGCTGCGGCATCTCGACTGTAATCTTAGGTCGGTCGTATCCTCCTACAGACGGATTTTGGTCGACAAAATAATACCCCAAAATATGTATAATAAAAAAAAAAAAAAAAATCGTCCCCATATTATGTTTTGACAATGTTCGAACATTCCTCCTGTAGAGGGACAGGCCTTACTTAACTGTAATCCTCCTCTGACTGTTCGGCATCTCTCTGGGAAGGCTGGGGCGTCGAAGGGGGGGTCGTCCAAGAGGGGGGGTCGCGAATCATGGCCCGAAGCATCTTGGCCGCCCCCGGCAAAGAGGGGAGGGGGAGGAGCGAGGCGGACCTGTGTAGCTGTCCTGTTCTTTTGGGGGCTTGCAAGAGTACGGTAATCAAGTTCTGGCTGAAACAATCAATCGACGACAAGGCCCTGCAGGAGCAAACGCCGACCATGGGAACACAGGGGCGACAACCCACAGGGGCGCACCCCCAGGCGAACCGAGGCGTCGTCTGGCGCCCCGCCAGGCGAAGCTGCCCGGCGACGCAGAACTTTGGCGCACTCAGGTTCAATCGAAAAAAACACGTCTACACCAAAAGTGGCTTGAGGCCACTTCTGGTGCGCTCACAGAAAAAAACAAGCACTCGAACATTCCTCAGACGCTTTCGCTTAGCTGCCCCCCTCTGAACGGCCCCTGCGCTGGCCCTCAACCATGCGTTCGGCATCGGTTCAACGGCTCGCCGAGGCGTGCCAGTACCCACCGCCGTCAAGGAAAAAAAATGCTGTCTGGGGAGACATGCATTACTGTACTGATCCACGCCCCCCGCCTTCTGACTGAGGGAGCCAAGAGTGGCAAGCGGAGGGTGTCACTCGCTCCATCACGGCCGTCCTCCTCCCAAGCCAGAGTCAGCTCAAGACAGATCCCTGGCAGCAAGGCGAAGCCACGACCGGGACAAAACATCGGACCTGCACAAGCCGAGGATCTCTGAGACCAGGCGGTTCTGGAAGAAGCATCGGGCGCCGCGGCCCTTCTGGAATGCTCCGGAAAGCTCTGAGAGCGTTCCACATCGCTCCGGAGCGAGCTGTCCTCTTCCTCAGCCTGCCTGACTCGACCCCGTCGACTCACGCCTGACTTGGCAGACCGGCTCGATCCGTGAGGGACCGTGGACCCAAACACTCTGGCATGATAGATTCGACCGCAGGCCCAGAAACTCTGAAACGATTTCGGGGGACCCGGGTCAGTCAAGGCTTTTGCAGAATCCTGCAAGACACTGCACCCAAACCCGGGTCAATGCGGAGGATCCTGCACTATCCTGCAACATCCGGCACCCAGGCCCGGGTCAATGCGACCCTGGCCCTGGCGAGCCTGGGCCTCTCCCTGGGCCCCTCCCTGGGCCCCTCCCTGGGCCCATCGCCCATCGTGGCCCCGTCGATCGAACCGCACCCAGCCGCGAGCCACGGGGGAGGACCCTCCCGTGGGGGCCAGGACGAGGCCAAGAACTTCAGGGGAGGGGGGGGGAGGGCACGGAACGAGGCGGCGGGGAGGAGGGAGGGAGGCAGGATGAGGGAGGGAGGTAGTGAACAGGGAGGGAGGGGGAGAGGGCGGGAGGGAGGGAGGGGAGCGAGGAGGAGGAGGAGGAGCGAGGAGGAGGAGCGAGGAAGAGACGAAGGAGGAGCGAAGAGAGAGGATGATCTCAAGTCCAGCTGCCCCAACCGAACCCTGACGGAAATGGAGGGGACCGAATTGACAGAGTGCCTGAGGCACTGGAGGGAGTCGGCTAGCGAGCCGACTGAAGCACACCATGGTGCTGTCCAGACCGCACCAAGATCCCATCCAGACGACAGGGGGGCGAAGGCGTCGGCATGGAGCCGAACATACCTCGCCAGAAGGGGCAGGGGCTACGGGACCACCGATGACGGGGGGATCGGACGGCCACTCCTGGGCTCGATCCCTCGAGCGAGCTTCCCACCCTTCGACTGAACATTCGCATGCGTGGACTTCACCTCATGGGGGGGGGCTACGGCAGGGGTGCTTCGGCTGGCTTCTTGAGATAATCACTTGCTGACGTGAGTAGTGAGGTGTGGGCGAGCGAGGAGGAGGCAGGAGTGAGCGAGGAGGAGCGAGGAGTTGCGAGGAGGAGGAGGAGGAGGAGGAGGAGGAGGAGGAGGAGGAGCTCGACTCCTCCAGCTTCTTCAGTAATGAGCAGTGAGCGAGGAGGAGGGCGCATTCACCGCCCGCACGTTCCCGCACGGCTGCAGCGAGGTCTGCCTCTCGCGCCGCTCAAAACTTCGCGCGCCGCGCGGCGCCTCGCTCTCCCGCCAGGCACGGGCGGAACGAGAGAACGCGACAATGACTTGGGCGGGCCTGTCGGGGAGACCCCGCAAACCAGAGAAGCAGAGACTTCCGACTAGCAGGACGTCTACAAGTTGCATTCTCGCGCGCAATGAGCGCAGCGTCGGATTCGGATGTGAACCCACGCGTCCACGTGGACTCAGGATCAAGTGAGTCCTGTCTAAGACGAAGCCAGGACGGGGACAGATTCGGGTGAGGAGGAATAGGGAATCTCTGGGATCTGGCGGCTCTAGAGGATGCATCCGGCGCCACGGCCTTCTCAGAGCCCTCCGGAACGCTCTGAGAGCGTTCCGGAACGCTCTGGAACGGGCTCATCCTCGTCCCAGCCCCGCCCAGCGTGCGTCCTGTCCTCTCCAGCTCGGACGAGCGTGTCCGACGCCGTGCTCGCTTCGCGGCGGAGCGCACGCGTCGCAGCGGCGCCGAGGCGGGTGGGACGTCGCGCCCCTCCCTCGCACAGCTGGCCCGCTTCCGACGGCCAGGCGCCGGGAGAAAGGATCGGCACGGGCGGGACATCATGGCCGGAGCCACGACATCTCCCCAGATTTCATGGCCCCCTCTTCTGCTTTCAGTGCGTCCCCTGCCCCCCCCCCCTCGTCCGCGCAGATGCCTCGGGCCATGAGTTGCGGCCCACCCCTCAGGGAAGACCCGCCCTTGGACGCCCCCAGCTTTCCCAGAGGGGAGTCGGACAGTCAGAGGTTGGCACGAGCGCTCGGCCGCTAGTCCGTACAGGCACAATCCGACAAGGAGTGCAAATCGAACGACAAAAATGCAGGACTCAGCAAGAATGCAGAAGTACGGCTTCCCAGACCCAGCAGACATGTAAGTGCCATGTTGGGGGCGTGGCCAGCGGGAGTGCTGGCACTCGCCTTCGGGGGGCCACAAAGCCTGCGCAGAGGAGAGCCGAACAGTCAGAGGTTGGCATGAGCGCTTGGCCGCTGGTCGGTACAGGCGTGATCCAACAGGAGGTGCACATCGAACGAAAAAATGCAGGGCTCACCAAGAATGCGGAAGCACGGTCTCCCAGACCCAGCAGACATGTGAGTGCCATGTTGGGGGCGCGGCCAGCGGGAGTGCTGGCACTGGCCGTCAGGGGGCCACAGAGCCCGCCCAGAACGCGCCCCGAAGAAGGCGGGGGTCGATCATGGTGGGCGCACCCCCCTCCCGAGGACTAGGCCCGTGCCGGCGGCCAGGCGCTGCGAGAGCTGCAGGGGGGGCGTGCTCGTCCGCCTCGGCAGCCCAGGCCGCCCTGACGTCCGAGGCGGGGATCTACCCACGACCAAAGTTGGCGGCGCGCGCAAGTTTGGACGCCCGAAATGGGTACGGAAAGAATGGGTACAATGCCCAACAACAAATGTTGTCCCAACCAACTCAACAGCGGCCGCTGTTGGGCAGGCGGCCTTCTGACTCGAATGGACACAAGCCGCGGCGGCGTGGACAGCGAATCCTGTTCAAAATGAACAGAAACTGCTGTTGGACATTGTACCCATTCTTTCCGTACCCATTTCGGGCGTCCAGAGCAAGGGGGCAGGGGGAGGGGGGGGAAGGCTCCTTCGAAGGAGGCCGCTTCTTGGAAGGCGCCGGCCTCACATCTGTAGGTGAGGCCCGCGCCTTCCAAGACGCAGGGGCGCTTCTATGAAGCCTTCCCCCCTCTGCGCGTGGCCGACCTGCCACGCAGCCGGCAGTGTCGGCAAGAGGAGGCGCGGGAGCAGGAGGGCCCCCACACAATCCTCCACAGTCGGACGCCCACAAGCCGACAGCCCCCTTTCGTGCTGAAGCTCTCCACCCTTTCCCCTGGGACGACTCTTCCACACCGGGCTGCTTTGCGAAGGCCCAAGCTGCAAACAAGCTGCCATCCGTGACGAGGGAGGTCTGGAACCTCCTCCTCTCCTTCTCAGGGGAACGAACAAAAACAGCATGAAGTAAGCCTTCGGGGTTCCGACCAAATGTGTCTATGCAACTTGTCCTCCTTCGAGTTTGGAAGCGGAAGCGTACCACCACCACACACAACCTTGGGGGTGCAGGACCCGCGAGACGCAGGCGTGCACGGTGGATGCCCCGCGCGAGCGCGCGAGAAAGCGTAGACCAGCACCGCCCCTGACGCTCGTCTGCCTCCAAACTCCAGGTGGCGGTGGCGGTGCCTCGAGAAAGCCCCAGGGGAAACTCGGACCGCCAGATCGAGCCCTGCGCCCCAAGACGACCCCCGAGACCGCTGGCAGGATCCTAAGAGGCCCCCCAGAAGCGTCGAAGAAGCCCCCTCGAGGCCCAAATCAGGTCGGAGACCCCCAAGGCATTCCAAAACGGCCTCAACGAGGCTCCCCAGAGGTGCCACACGAGATCTCCACAGGCGTCCATGAGGCCTCTGACCTTCAGCCCAGGCACGGTGGCATGCAAGAGGCCTCTCACCTCATCCTCACTCCAATCGAGAAAAGGAGAGCTGCAAGAATCGCTGCAGCTTCGGCCCTCCTTGGGAGCCGCTGCTCAGGCTGATGTCGTCGACCATCCCTTCCTTGGGGGGGCTCCCAGGGGGGAGCGAAGGACCGAGCGTCTCCTACTCCCTCAAGCTGACTCCGCGTCGTATGCTCCTGCTCCAAATCTTGTTCCTTCTGGCTCCTCTTGAGTATCCGCTTCTTCCTCGCCCTCGTCCACTTCCCCTCCTCCTCCTCCTTATCCTCCTCCACGTCCTCCTCTTCCTCCTCCTCATCATATGCATCACCACCACAACAACCAGATTCGTCCTCATCCTCATCCTCATCCTCACCCTCATCAGCATCATCATCACTATCATCATCTTCAACAGCAGCATCATCATCAGCATCATCATCAGCATCATCATCAGCATCGTCATCATCAGCATCAGCACCAGCACCATCATCATCCTCATCGTCATCCTCATCTTTATCCGCATCCTCATCCTCATCCTTATCATCATCATAATCAGCAGCATCATCATCATCATCATCATCATCATCATCATCATCATCATCATCATCATCATCATCATCAGTAGCAGAAACTGCGTTATAATCGTCACTGGCACCATCATCAACAGCAGCAGAAGCAGCAGCGTCATGATCCATGACTACCATTGTCGTCTCTATCGTCATCGTCACCGTCACCATCGCACCACCTCATCTTTATCCTGCTGTCCTCCTGCTGCTCATCTACAGGTTCCTTCTGCCTCCTGCTCCCCCCGTTCCTCCTGCTGCTCCCCCTGCGTGTCCTCTGTCTGCTGTGCATCATCCTGTCCATCCTCGCCGTCACAAGCCCCCTCTGACCAAACCCCCTCATGATCTGGTCATAAGCCCCCTCTTCATCATAATGATGATCACAACCATCAACGTCAGCACCGTCAACGTCATCACCATCACCATCAAGCTCACCGCCACAACAACCAGCAGCATCATCAGCATCACCATCATCAGCGCTTTCACCAGCATCATCAACATCATCAGCAGCATCATCATCATCAGCATCATCATCATCGGCATCATCGTTGTTACCATCATAATCAGCAGCAGCAGAGGCAGCAGCAGCATCACCATCAGCAGCAGCACCGCCACCACCAATCACCCATCAGCAGCAGCAGCATCACTAGCATCAGCAGCATCGCCATCAAAACCATCATCATCATTACCTCGCCATCACCGCCGCCATCGCCATCATCATGAGCATCATCATCAGCAGCAGCAACATCAGCATCATCATCAGCAGCATCACCAGCATCAGTAGCATCACCAGCACAAGTATCACCAGCAGCACCATCAGAACCATCACTATCACCATCGTCTTCACCTTCACCTTCACCATTCACCAGATTCATCGTCATCCTCACCCTCCTCTTCGTCATCAGCAGCATGATTATAACCATCCTCGTCATTATCAACATCAGCATCATCATCATCACCATCCTCATTCAAATCCTCAACCTATTCCTCATCCTCGTCATCCTCCTCATCTTCATCCTCATCATCACCATGACCATCACCAACACCATCGTCATCCTCATCCTCATCCTCATCCTGATCAACATCATCGTCGTCATCATCAGCATCAGCATCAGCCTCATCGGTATTATCATCAGCATCAGCATCACAAACCCCATCCCATCCACATCCGCATCCTCATGCTCCTCATCCTCCTCATCCTCATCATCATCCTCATCCTCATCATCCGCTGCCTATTCCTCATCCTCACCCTCATCATCACCATCACCATCAGCGTCTTCATCCTCATCCACACCCTCATCCTCATCAACCTCATAATTATCATCAGCATAATCGTCATACATGTCATCATCATCCGCATCATCATGCTAATCCTCATCCTCATCCTCATCATCAGCATCAGCATCATGATCATCATCATGATGATCATCATCATCATCATCGTCATCATCATCAGCATCATCATCATCAGCATCATCGTCCTCATCCTGATCCTCATCCTCATCCTAATCAGACTCATCATCCTCCTCATCATCCTGATTATGATCCTCATCCTCATCCTAATCAGCCTCATCAGCCTCCTCATCATCCTCATTATGATCTTCAACCTCAACCTCATCATTACCAGCACCATCACAATCACCATCACAATCTTCATCCTCATCCTCATCCTCATCCTCGTCATCATTAACAGCATCAACATCATCACAATCCCCATCCTCATCCACATCCTCATCTTCATGCTCATCATCCTCCTCATCCGCATCCTCCTCCTCATCCTCATCCTCATCCTCATGCGCATCATCACCATCACCATCACCATCTTCATCCTCATCCTCATCCTCATCCTCATCAGCATCATCATCGTCATCAGCATCATCATCAGCATCGATAGTTTTAGCAGCAGTATCATCATTATCAGCATGATCCTCCTTATCCTCATCATCAGCCTCATCCTCATCCTCATCATCCTCATCGGCATCAGCATCAGCACCATCATGATCATGATGATCAGCATCGTCATCATCATCAGCAGCAGCATCATCATCAGGATCAGCATCATCATCCGCATCATCAGTATCAGCATCAGCATCGTCATCATCATCATCATCATCATCATCATCATCATCATCATCATCATCATCAGCATCATTATCATCAGCATCACCGTCATCCTCCCCCTCGCCCTCGCCCTCGCCCCTCGTCGTCCCCTCGCCCTCGAATCGCAATCTCGCGAACGTCTCTGCGCTGCCTGCCCGTCGACACCCCGCGCCCCCCCCCCTGGCCAAGAGCGAGCGGAGACGTCCACCGCCCACCAAGACCTGGGCCCCGACTGGGCACGCGGAGGCTCCATGGCGCGGTTGGGCGCGACTCGGAAGCGAAACCGCGACACGGCGCAAGGCAGAGGAAATCCTGCCTCTCACAGAAGAGCGGGAGGAGGAGGAGGAGGAGGAGGAGGAGGAGGAGGAGGAGGAAGAAGAGGGGGCTCGAAGTAAGAAGGGGTGGCGATAAATGGAGGGGGCGGAAAGAAAGGTGCCCTTTTGAGGCCGCGGAAGCCCCCGCTGACAGGGCCCTGAAGGCCCCCTCTAGGGGCACCGGCAGCTCTGCTGCCCCCCGGACTCGACGCTGGATCCACGTCGAGTCCGCGTCGAACCCACGTCGGAACGTCGGAGTAAGAGGAAAGACTGCAACTTACAGCACAGGAAAGGTCCACCGAAGGTGCAAAGTAATGGCATCGAGAAGCTCAAGACTCAAGACCACGCATGTCTGGAGGATCCACCTCCCGAGGCCTTCAGGGTGGGGGTGGGGGGGGGAGAACCTGCGCCGCGTTCCTCCCTCGCCCCCTTCCCTCTCCCACCTCGGCCCTGCTGCCATCCTCCCTCCTCCCACCTCGGCACTGCCACCCACCCTCCCTCCCCCCTCTACACCCCCTCCGCCCTGCCCGCATCCCAGCACCTCCTCCCCTCCCGTTCCCCCCCCCCCTGCCTCCAAGGAACCCTCAGGCGCAGTCTGCGCCTGAAGGTTCTGAGCCTGCGGAATTCCAGAAGGCTCTGAGCCTCTTGGAATTCCCCCTGAACCGTTCAGAACATCCTGAACCCTGCCTCCTCCCCCCTTGATCCCCGAACCTCTCTCGGGGCGCATTCAGGCCAGAAAGAACGGTTCCCCAGGCGGCAGATTTGCATGAATCCCAGCCTCGGAGAGCAAGAACGAGAGCACGCTTTTGGCTCCTCATTGTTCGGCGTGCGCGCACGCTGTTCCGACCTCATCCTGAACCTACCCTATCATGCCCCCCCGTGTCTTTCACCATGTCAGTCCTGGGACCCGAGAGGGATAGCGAGCGACCACGCAGATCGCCACCTGGCGGCCAGACGAGCGACACATCACGTTAGCCGAGCAAACACCAGTTCGCGCACAGAGAGATAAACCGAGAGAGAGGAAGAAAGTGAAGGAGAGAGAGAGAGAGGGAGAGAGGAGACAGAACGGAAGCAACAGGAGTGGTCGAGCTAACATTCACAAGAGAAGGAAAGAGGGGAGGAGGTACAGGCCATTCGCAACAAGTTAACCGAAACATAAGAAAGAGGTGACAACAGGTTGAGGCCGGCCCGCCCCCGAAAGAAAAAAAATCTAGAAGCCGCTTCGCGTGATGAGGAACGAATGCGCTTCATGTAGAGTAGGATCTTGGAATCCAGGACTGCCTGCATTCAAGGAGTGGTCTACAAGAGGACAGGGAGAAGGTATCTGGGGGAGGCGTCAACTGCGCAGTCCTCGCTATCGACGCTCACCATGTCGTCGTCTCCGTCGTCGTCGGAGTTGATCTCCGCGACGCAGCCCTGACATCGGAGAGTCGCGCTGCGTCTCAGATCGGGACTGGAGATCGAAGATCATCGACATCGTCGTCTGGGAAACTTCTGTGCGTCCTTAGAAGTTCTCGTCACAGTGGCTGGACATGGGGGTCCAAAAACGGTGCAATGACAGACTGTGCGGTGACCTCGAAATCCAAAGGGACCACAACGAGGTCCGTCACAGTACGGTTCTTGGACCTTGGAGGCCCCAGTCGCCCTAGACTGCTGCTGCTGCTGCTGCTGGCTGCTGCTGAGATGCAGATCTCTGGGGCCTGAAGTTCGCTTTGACGATCCAGCTTGAACGTAGTAATGTCAGTGTGTCCGCCAAGTCGGGTGGGCGTTCAAGCCATCGCATTCCCCCCTGTTTCCAATAGTCCACCCTGGGGGCAGGAAGAAGGACATGCAGCTGGATCAGTGGCGCCAGCGCAGTTACTCAAAATGACTAGTGACATCCTGTCTCCCTTAAAGATGGCCGGGGAGTGGAACGACCCCTCCGCGTATTGTTGCCCACACACCAGATGTCTAACATCGATATGCCTTATATTGTTGTCGGTGGGAACGTCTTCGGTGTCTCAAAACTTTAGGATCGGCGCTTTTCTTCCATCTTCAAAATGACGCTCTCGCCCCAACGCGGGCTACGTTTCTGGATCTGACTGCTTCCTCGTCGTTCTCGTCCCGCTCCTTCCCCCTCCCCCGCTTCCCCCAGGTCATCCCGATCCTCCCGTTTCTCCCTCTCCGGCTCCTGCTCCTGCTGTTCCACCTCGCCCTCCATCTGCCTCCTCCTCCTCCCCTTCCGCCTGCTCATTTGTTCTGCTCCTCCGCGCGATCCTCCTCCTGGGTACGCAGCCAATCTTTTCCTATTGCGCCTGGCACGGTGGGGTCCTTGTTGGTCTCCAGCAGCTCCGCTGTGGGGCGCGTCGGCGGATGGAGACAGTCCAGCGCCTTGAGAACGGATGGGGGGGAAGGGGGTAAGATGTCAGATATGGCGCGAGTGCACCCAGCTCCTCGCTTGCCTCGGACCTCTCTCTCTTCTCTTCTCCCCTCCTCGTCTCTCGTCTGCCCCCCCTCCTCTCAATGCCAACTCAACTTGAATCGTAGTCTCCTCTCTCCCCCGAAGACGGCCGCGGCGTGGGAGCTGCCCGCCCTTTTTGCGCGCACGACTTTCTACACACAGGATGGTGCCGACTTGTCTTGCCTCGGTCCGTCCAAGCCTATGTTCCCGTTGCAGCGCGGGCCTCGTTCTAGGATTGCGGCTTGGCCCCCGTCGCTCAGAGACGCGCTCTTGCCCCATCGCTGGCCACTTCTCTGGAGCCCGTGTCCATCGTGGTCGCCCCCCCCCCATCCCCCGTTCCCCCTCCTCCGCCTTCCCTAGGCCCTGGCCCTCCTGCTCTCCCCGCTCCGTCCACTCCAACTCCTGCTGCCGATGTTCGTCCTCGTCCTCGTGTTCGTTGTCCTCGTTGCTTATTCTCCCTCCCTCCGCCTGTATCATTCCTCTCCTTTCTCCTTCCTCTCTCCTCTATCCTCGTTCCTCCTTCCTCCTGCCTACTGTTATTATTCCTCCTCCTACGTTGTGTTCCCCCAGCTCCATGTTCCTGCTCATACTCCTGCTCATCTTCCACCTCTTCTTCCTCCTCCTCCTCCTCCTCCTCCTCCTCCTCCTCCTCCTCCTCCTCCTCCTCTTCCCCCTCGTCCCCTTACTCCTCCTCCTCCTCCTCCTCCTCCTCCTCCTCCTCCTCCTCCTGCTCCTCCTCCACCTCCTCCCATGTACAGAATTGCATTATTCTGACTTTGCATAACATGGCGGGAACACCGTTTGAATTCCCCGTCAGCTGTGACACACAGCGGCGGATATAGTATGCATGCATGGCGCGCACATTTACAAAAATGCATACATGTACATATACACCTACACAGTGGCACACCAAGCTACACGCATACATACATACTTACGTACGTACGTACATGCGTACGCACGCACTTGCACACGTGCATACATACATACATACATACATTCACACATACCTACATTGACCCATACACACACGCATGCATACATGCATACACACATCCGTGCACACATACGAACGTACATGCGTCAATGCATGACTGAATGCATGCACACATGCATGCATGCAGGAATCCATACATGCATGCACACATACATGCATGCATACACATACACAAACGGCATGCATTAATGCATGCATGCACGCATGCATGCATGCAACTATACATACATCCATGCACAGACATACACACATGCATACATACACATGCATAGATGCGTACATCCATAAATGCATAACGACAGACAGACAGGCAGACAGACAGGCAAACTACATGCATACAGACATGCGTGCATGCGGGCATATATTCTTACACACATGCATGGATACACAAACACAACACTACATGCATCAATACATACCTGTATACGTGCATACATAAATGCATGCATGCATGACTACACAAACAAACACATACATACACAATTACGTACGCACGTACATACATACGTATATACATGCATATACACATATATACATACATATATGCATGCAGACATGCATACACACATACGAGAGAGCGTGATCCACCGCCGCTTTACTGTGGAAAATTGCCCCCCTCTTCCTCTGGAACCCGGGGGTCCCCCCCCCCCTCCGAAAATCTCCCCCCCCTGCTGGAAACCCCCCCTCCCCCCCCCCTCCCCTCCCCCGGCAACCCCCCCCCCTCCCCTAACCCCTCCCCCCCCCCCTTCCCCCTCGAAAACCGAGGGGGTCACTACCGGTTCGAACCCCCCCCCCTCGAAAACCGGAGGGGGGGTCACTACTGGTTCGAACCCCTCCCCACTCCCCCACTCACCGCCAGCAAACGACTCCCTGTCCCTACCACCGACCGCGCCACATCCCCCACTGTTGTTCCCAGCACCACTGTCCTCACCACCACTGTCCCCACTGGTTCCACCACCGTCCCTACTGTCCCCACCAGTGCTCCCACCACTGTCGCACTGTCCCCACTGTCCCCACCACTGTTCCCACCACGGTTCCACTCTCCCCACTTTCTCCACGGCCCCAACCACTGCCCGACTATCCCCACTGTCCCCACTGTCCCACTGACTCCTCCGCTGTCCCACTGAGCTGTCCCACTGTTCCCACCACTGTCCCCACTGTCCCCACCACTGTCCCCACTGTACCTCTGTCCCATTGTCCCACCGCCGTCCTCGCCACCGCCTTCACCACTGTCCCCACCACCACTGTACCCTCCACTGTCCCACTGTTTCCACCTCCCCCTGTCCCCACACCACTGTCCCCACCACCACCGTCCCCACCACTGTCCACTGTCCCCACTGTTCCCACCATTGTCCTCACCACTGTCCCCACCACTACAGTCCCCACCACTGTCCCACTGTCCCCACCACTGTCCCGCTGTCCCCTCACCACTGTCCCCACCACCACCGTCCCCACCACTGTCCGCACCCCCCCTCGGTTTTCGAGGAGGGGGGGGGGGTTCGAACCAGTAGTGACCCCCCCGATTTTCGAGGGGGGGGGGTTGAAGCGGTAGTGACCCCCCCCACCTTTTTTTAATGAACTGGGGGGTGGGGGAGGAGGGGTTCGAACGGGTAGTGACCCCCCCCGGTTTTCCGGAGGGGGGGGGGAGGGGGGAGGGGTTCGAACCGGTAGTGACTCCCCCCGGTTTTCCGCCAGCAGCGGTAGAACACGCTCTTTCACAAATACCGTCGCTAAGTCAGTCACGCATGCATGCATACATGTATGCATGTAGTCACGCATATTTACACACACACATACATACATACATACATACCTACCTACCTACCTACCTACCTACCTACCTACCTACATGCATGCATGCATGCATGCATGCATGCATACATACATACATACATACATACATACATACATGCATGCATGCATGCATGCATGCATACTTACATACATCCATGCATGCATGCATGCATGCATGCATGCATGCATGCATGCATGCATAAATACATACATACATACATACATACATACATACATACATACATGCATGCATGCATGCATGCATGCATGCATGCATGCATGCATGCATGCATGCAGACAGACAGACAGACAGACAGACAGACAGACAGACAGACAGACAGACAGACAGACAGACAGACAGACAGACAGACAGACAGACAGACAGACACATATACATACACAAACATGTGTACATGCATGCATATATGTATACATATACCCACAAAACTACATCCATGTGTACGTAGGTAAGTCCGACCGTATATACATACACATACATACATAATCACATACACACATACATGCATACATACATACATGCAAGCATACATTCATACACGCATACATGCATTCACACACACACACATACATGCATGCATATATAAGTGCATGCATATGTAACTATGCATACATACACTTATGCATGCATGCATGCATACATGCATACATGCACACATACATCGATTCGTTCGTTCATACATACATACATACATGAAGACACTGACACAGACACAGACAGACAGGCCAGACAGACAAAGAGCACAGTGGGAAGGGACGGGGAGGAGGGGAAGGATGTCGGATCTGGCGCGAGCGCACCTCGATTGCCTCTCTCCTTGAACAATTCCCACGCATGAATACGAGTCGAGCCTCCTCTCTCCCCCGAAGATGGCCAAGGGGTAGCGGGCACCCTCTGCGCACTGAGTTCACAAACGTGAAACATGATGTGTGTGTTTACTGCGGTGCCTTAACTTTCCGTTCGCAATCTTGCGGCTAAGCCAGCGGTCAAGCACGTTCTCGCGTCTTTCTGGTTACCGCGGCTCGCCCTCCTCGGGGTGATGCAGGGGCGAGGAACGCAGAAGGAGGGATCATCTTCCCTTCCCCGCCCCATCCCCTCCTTCCAGGGAAAGGGGGGGGGAGCAATTCCCGCACGCACTCATGGGTTCCACGCCAGAAACCCCGAGCGCCAGCCACCGCGCCCGCCACGCTGCCCCGCTGATGCAGCCAGGAGTGCCAGCCGCCAGGTTGGAGCCACCTGGCCGCCATCTCCCTGTGCAGCTGCATAGCTGCGGTGAGGAGGCCATTGCAGCCTTGGAGCTCTGGGGCGGGGCCTGAAGGGATTTCAATGGTCTCGAAGGCCCCTTCCGTTGCGCCACAGGTGCAGCCAGGAGTGCCAGCCACCAGGTTGGAGGTGCCTTGCCACGCCCCCACCCGTCGCAATCGACCTTCTTTCTTCTCCCCCTCGCAGCAGCATGGCTGCAGTGGAGAGGGCGTTCCATCCGCGGGGCTCGAAGGCAGGGCCTGAAGGGATTGAAATGGTGTCTCACCTGGCGGTTCGGGTCTGCAAAGATGTTGATGGTATCTCACCTGACGGTTCGGGAAACGGCCCTGTCGTGCGAAACCCCCTCTCATCATTGAAGCTCCCGTGCCCACACTAAACAATAACCAGGGGTGCTGGCCATGAGTCTCTGATCGCTCTCAGAGAGGAACAAAACGCCTGTCGCTCCCATCCGTCTCTCCCATCTTCATGCCGCTTGCCTATGTCATCGCGAACTTTGCATAGGTCTGTCGGTTCCCGCATTGTCCGTGAGAACAGCACTACCCCATATGATCCATCAGTCACACAGCAGGGCAATAAATGGCACAGGTACCCGTCGGTCGGAAGAAGTAAGTAGAAACATGAAGTAGGAAGGCGGAGAGAACCTCAAAACGCAGCGAAAGCATTTCGGTTCTTGAAGTAGGAAGGCGCTTGAAGTTGATTGGGATCTGGGAATCCAAAAATACCTACATTCAACGACCGGCGTTGAATTCTTTGGAAATTCAGCCCGTCGATCCCACCATTAGTCTATCAGGAATTGCCCCATCCCCCCTTCTAGGATCCCCGATGGCCGCCAGGGGGGGCGGAGTTGCGGCCACGTGCGCAAGACAGCGCTTGGGCGCGATGGTGCATCCGCCGGCAATTTTCAAGCATGTTCTGGGGGGTGCCAACCCAGCCTCGGAGGGATGGCGCGGCACCAATCTTCGTGCCATGTTCGTTGCTCCGTTCGTCGCCTTCCCGATATTCCCCTCCAGAGGGGGGGGGCCAATGCCGATTCTTTCTTGTCCCGGCCGCGAGGCCGATAGGAACCTGCCCGCACTCGCCGGAGAACCTGCCCGCAAGTGCTCACCTCTTCGAAGCGCAGCAAACCTGTGCTCAATTCTCAAACATGTCCCGCACTTCCTGCTGCACCGACCTCTCCGCTTCCGTTGGAATCGGACGCGCGCTTCGCGGCCATGCTCGATCGACAGGATCCTCTGGCGCGCCCGCCGTGCACAGGTGTTGCACCAATCGCTCGTCACAAAGACCAGGGTGAACACGCCCACTGGCTTGCGAGGTCCTAAACGCCCAGGCGTGGCTTCCCCTAACGACGAGAATAAATGCTGCAGATCTGCCTTGTGGGGTATCTTGTGAGCGGCTTGGGGCGCACCCGCTGGAGGCATGCCTGCTGCCCAGGCAGGTTCCAACGCGAAGCTCTACGCTGTTGACTCCACTTGTTGGCCATCCTGTCGCCGCTCTGGGAGGCCCTCCTGGGACCCACCCTCTTGCGGCCTTCCTGCGACTCTGGCAGGTTCCTGGCCCAGAACGACCTCGTTCCGTGCGGTCTGGACCACAGCCCGAGGCCATTCGCACCATCGGGCCACCACGCCCTCCCGCCCTCCCTCTCTCGTACCCCTTCCTCCCTCGTACCACTCCCCCGACGTCGACGCCCGCCCGCCCTCCCCCCCTCCCCCTCGTACCCCGACGACGACGCCGTACCCCTCCCCCCACGACGACGCCCTCCCCCTCGTACCCCCGCCCTCCCTCCCCCCCTCGTACCCCTTCCCCGACGACGACGCCGACACCGCCGCCGACGACGCCGCCGGGACCGAGGAGCCTCGTCCCCGCTGGACAGCGCCACGCAGTCGTCCTCTCGGGGCGCGCGGCGTGCCCCGGCGCAGGAGCACGGGGAGGACCGAGTCCCCGAGGTCCCATGAGGACCCCACGGGGGTAGACGAGCGCGTTCCTCTGCTCGCAAAGTGGCAACTCGCAAATTGCCTGGATCCGCCGCAGGGGATCTACGATATACACCGAGGCAGATGTGTGGGTTTTCGGAAGTTTGCGAGTGCGCACTTTAGGGGTAGCGGGACGCGCTCGGTGAGAGGGGGAACGATGGGGGGATCGGCCTAGGGGTTCAAACATCGAGCTGGAGTCGGCGATGCATCCCCGATAGAGCGGCGATGGGCCCCTGGTAGTGAAGTCCGCACGCTCCTGGGCAGGGTGGGGCTATCAGGCTCCGATCGGCGGTGCATGGGCGGTTGGGGTGTGGATGCAGTGCCCACTGAGCCTACTGCCCCCAATCGGCAGCCAGGACGCGCTCGTCAGAAGGCTTCGGCAGACCCGGGTTCCCGCGCACTCGAGTCTTACGTTTCCACGACACATGGCACCCCTCGCAGGGGGGAGTGGCGCAGCCTTGCGACGGCCTTGGCGACCGCGCCCGCTCGCAGGACCGACGCCCCCACGCCTCGGGTCGCATGGGACGACGCTGCAGGCACCGCGCCTGGTGGAGATGGCCACTGCGGCCTCCATCGCGACGTCGGGCTCGCACCAGATGCTCGCGCGTGGGGGGTGACCGCATCGGTGACTTTGGGGGACGTCTGGGTAGCAGATCGTAGATGCTCCCTCCTGCGCCCGAGTCGGCGAGAACGTGGTGGCACGGGCTGGTGAGATGCCGAAGCCTGCTGCGAGTTTCTGCCTGCCTGCTGCCAGGCCGGATGGGCTGCTCGAGGATCGGCACGGTGGCGAAGTGGTTCTGGAAGATGGCCCTGGCCGCATCTAAGGCGGGAGTTGTCCAACTGGAATGTCGCCTCGTTGTTGGAGTTGGCCTTGTGGCGGTTGCGAGTGGCCTGCTGGGCAGCGCAGCCCCCCCCACAGGGCTCTCTGCGAGCCCCAATGACTGCAAACAGCGTGGTGGGAACAGCGACGGCCCCCATCTCGTGAGTGGTGACTCGGATCCAACTGACGTGTAGGGTCGGGTCGAGCGTGACATGCGTGGTGTTCTAGTGGCTCGAAGCCTTCGTGGCGCCGAGCTGGAAAACCGTCCCGCTCTCACACTGTGCTTCTGCTGCCGCAGCATTGCGCAGCACGGGAATGACAACTCGGTCCCTGGCTACAGGGAAATACTCGGGCTCAAGACCACAAGAGTCAGTGGTTGGTTTTGCCAGTGGATTTGGGTGTGCAGCCGTTTTCCCTCCTCGTGGCCGTGAAGGATCTGTTGATGTGGAGCGCGTCGCCGCTGGTGGTCAATGTTGGTTCACGTGGAGGCTCGGACTCTTTGGGGGAGTCACGGCGGCGGGACGGGCGTTTGGGCTCATCTGCGGGGCGTGTGTTGACCCTTAGCCCAGCGGCGGGCAATTGTCCAGCTGATCTTGTGTTGGTCGCAGTGGCGGGCAGTGCCGCGCGGAGCTCGGTAGAGTGGTGGGCGTGCCTGTGGTAGCCTTAGGTCGTGCATGTCCTCCTACAGGCGGAATGTGGAAGAAAGATAAAAGATTCTCTAACAAGAATCTTTGAATAACGATATTCCTCGCATTCTTGAATTCCTCCTGTAGAGGGAGGACATGCCCGACTCACTGGCAGACGCGGTCATACTCGGAAGCGGTGACAGACCGGAGCTGGTCGCACGCCAGAGTGGCCCCCTCCGTTCCCGCGCCACGGGGGAACGGCCGCGCACTTCCTCCTCCTCCTCCTCCTGGCTCCTCCTCCTCCTCCTCTTCCTCCTCCTCCGAGAAAGAGAGAGAGAGAGAGAGAGAGGGAGAGAGAGAGAGAGAGAGAGGGAGAGAGGAGGGACGAGGGAGAGGAGCGGGTCCTGGACCTGGGGGCCTCCCCCCACCAGGTCGAGCTCATCCCGAGTCGGTTTCTGGCAGTCCCAGGGCCCGCGGCGAACCCCGAGAGCCCGAAAACAGAGGAAAACCTTTGGGCCCCCTCTCCCTCGGGACCCGCTTCCCCCCCTGTCGGTGATTTCAGCGCAGCGGGGCGTCGAGCGCCAAGCCGGCGCCGTCGCGCTCGCGAGCGCACGGGCGGCCCAGGCACCGCCGCCGCGGGCCTCCCGCGCGTGCGCCTCTGCGGGCGTCACGCCGCCCCGGCGCCGTGGACCGTGACGACCAGGCGCCGGGCAGCGGGCGTGCCCTCCTCCGCCTCGGCGCCGAGGCCGCCGCGGGCCGCGTCGTAGAGCCAGACGGCCTGGCCGCCGGCCAGCATCAGCTCCCCGCAGGCGTCCACCGGGACCATGGGCCCGTTCTCTCTCGGGGGGCGCCCACAGAAGGAGAAAAAGCCACAATAAGCATAAACTTTTGGCGCTCCGCGCGAAGTTCCTGGATTCGCGCTGGACCCCCCCTCCCTGGCCCGCTCCGCGCGCCAGGGGCCCAGGCGCGGATCCACTACTGGCCATCGCTCGGACGTCCATTCCCCGTGTTTTTTTCGGTTTCGTGCGTGGTTTTGTTTCGCAGGATGATCCAGGATGCTCCTTAATCATCCCCGCCGAGAAAAAGTGCACACGTCCGAGCGATAGCAAGACGAAACCCGCGCAGAGCGCCAACAGTTTGCGTTTGTTGGGGAACCCAAAAAGTGCCGATACCGCTACTCCCCGGACCTCTCCCGGGGTGCGTTCTGACCAGTATTCCGAGGCGAATCCAGCGGTGGCGACCAGGGCCTCCCGGGAGGCCCAAGGAGGGAAGACGGGGACAGGGTAAAGGGTATGAGTACCTTTTTCCTCGTTTGTGGTTGTGTGGTGATTTTCTTCTGCGAGCCCAGGCGGGCCGCCTGCTGCGCCGAGGCTGGCCAGGCCCGTCCCGAGCCCCCAGGCTCGGCGCCGCGCGCCTCCACGGCGGGGCCCGGGAGGGCGAGGGGCCGCCCCAGACCCAGCCCTGGGGCCCAGGATTAAGTCGGGCCTGTCCCCCTACGGGGGGACTTTGGACGAAAATTAAAAATGGGCCCCCAAAAAAACAAAGTGGCAGAAAAATGCTCAAAGAATGGTCCCCAGACTATGTTCGGACTATTTCTGAATCTTCCTCCTGTAGAGGGACAGGCCCCACTTAAGCCCAGACCCATCCCTGGGGCCCAGGACGGGCCCGGCCAATGTCGGGAGGTGGTCCGTTCGACCCAGGCAGCCGACGATGTGTTTCTGGAGGTTGGAAAGGGTGTGGCATGAAGGGGTGTAGTGCCAACCGTGGAAATGGCGATGGTATCTACGATAGATAGCCTTGCCAAGTCCAGCTTTGGAACCACACCCCTTTACACCACACCCCTTTCCTACCTCCAGAGTGTTTCGTCAGTCCGCGGCCCCCCCACCCCTTCCGGGGACGGACACTTTCGTCTGGGACTCACTCTGGATGGTCCCGGGAGTCCGACAACGAGCCCCAGAAGCCGGGGCCGAAAAGAAATGCTGGTGCAGAACATAAGCATCATCTGGGGGTACGAAAAGGAACCGACACCGCCACTCCGCGGACCTTTCCTGGGGTGCAGTCGGACCACCGTGGCTACAAGGGCAGGGTAGCGCGATCGGTATCCTGCTCCCCTCCGCATATCGCTGGTGATCTGAGGGCACCCCCCGAGCTCTTGGCGATCGCGGCGCGGGCGCCCGCGTCCGCCGTTAGCTCGCCTGGGGCAGTGCGAACTGGGGTCACCACTCCCTCGAGGGACATGGGGCCCCCATTCCAGGGCCTCCCTGGGGAAACCAAAAGGTACCAATACCGCTACTCCCCGGATCTCTCCTGGGGTGCGTTCTGACCAGGATTTCAAGGCGAATCCAGCGGTGGGGACGAGGCCGCCCAGGAGGCCCAAGAAGGGGAAAACGAGGCGAGGGTAAGGGTATGGGTACCTTTTCCCCCTCTGACTCCCAGAAACACCCCAGACGTCCAACAAAAACTCCTCGAGCTTCGATCCCAGAACCTCGATTCCCACGAGCAGCTGGCGACCACCCATGACGACCCAGACATGCGACGTCGCGATCTGTTGAACGCATCCCCAGCGCCGGCCTTTCACCCGTTGCCGTTTTTGACGGTCCCGCGGCCCAGCGAAAGCCCACGGATGCCGAAAATTGTGCAAAAGAACCCGTCCTGATTTTTCGGTTTCTGACGTTGCATGTCTAGGGACCCCCTCGACGACGACGGCCCTCGACGACGACCCTCGATGATGACCCTGGACCACGACCCCCGACGCCAGAAGAGCGACGGCGCCGACGCCGACGCCGACTTGTCGTCGGCACTGCCCGATCGCCCAGCGCGAGGGCCAAGCCGCGCGCGGCGCCGCCGTCGCCGACGACCACGCCAGCGAGCGCGTCGGGCGCGAACAGGTGCGCCAAGCCAGGGCCGCCGCCCGCGGCTGGCAGCGCCTCCCGCACGGCCTGTCGCACGGCGCCCGTGACGTCTTCCAGCTCGCCGCGCATCAAGACCTCTGTCTGTGCTGCCGCGACCCTCTGCTTCTCTGCCCCCCCCCATCCCTCCTTCCCCCCTTCCCTCCGTCCTCTCCTCCCTCTTCTCCCCTTCTCCCCCCCTCACTGCCCTCCCCGCCGCCCCGCCCTCTCAACTGGGGAGACCCATAGCAGCACGATGTGCCGCTACTCCCTGGGCCTCTCCTGGGGCGCGCTGCGACCCGGACGTCGGAGCGAATCCAGCCGCTAAGAGAATCGAGCAAGAGGGGAGGGTAGCGGCATCAATTGTTTCCCTTCGCTGAATGACGAGGTGGGCACCCGCGCACAGCGCCGCGTTTGAGTTCGTTTTGCGCAGGCCCCGCCCCATGCTGGGGCGAAGCATAGACTTCCACTTTCGATGGCCAGACGACTATGCGCCGTACTTTTCCTTCCTGGGTCGAAGATCGACAGCGCCTTGGGAGACGCAAGCGCGGCATGGCGAACAAGCGTCGCCCGCGGAGAGAATGGCCCCGCCATGCGTTGCGCACTATATGTTTGCAATATACGATGTGACGTGCAGATGCATACATACATACATACAGACAGGCATGCATGCATACATACATCCATCCATACGCACCTAGAAACAAGCAAACAAGCAAACAAGCGTACATGCACACATGCATACACGCATACATACGCACATACGTCCATATGGGCATGCGCACATACGCACATACGTGCATACGTATACATGAACATACGTTCATACGTACATCGAGACATACATGCATACATGACAAAACGCTGAAACATGCATACACTCATACATACATCCATACACACATATGCATACAAGCAAACATACATACATCCATGTACATACACACATACATACATTCATACATGCATACACACATGCCTGCATGCATACATACATGCAAACATACACGGTGAAAGTTATGTGGCGCAATCTACGCGGTGCAATTTGCTCTGCCGAAACTGAGAATATCAAATCCACCCATCGCGACATCGCCCCGCCCGCGCTCACCCGCAACTTGGTTTGCAAACCACTTGCGGCGGCGATTGCGATGACTGTTCCACGATGGATGGCGCATCGGCGGCCGCACTAGCGCGCGCAGGCTCGCGCGCTGGGCGGCCGGCTAGTCTGAAGCAACCGACGCGGCCGTGGCGGCGCTGACCGCTGGGCATCTCCCAGCGCGTCTCGCAGGCCGCGCTGACACGCGGGCAATTCAGTGCGAGTCGGTGACCGGAGCGGGCGCGGCATCACGGCGACGTCGACAGTGGAAGACACCATGATGAAAATAGCAATGCTGGCTGGCGCCGACGATTACGACGACGATGGCAAACACTATGACGGCGCCGATGATGTTCACGCAAGTGACGACGATGGTGTCCACGCGTCGGAGCTGACATTTTCGGGAAGACTTCAACATGCACGCGGCCAACGCATGCGGGTGGCCCGTATGGTACCATTTGGAAAGGATCGACCCTCCCCCACTCACACAGCAACCGCGCCAATGCGTCATAACCATTTCAACATGCGCACGCGAAACGCCCGCTTGGTCGCATGTGATGCACATGTTGACAAACTGACGGTTTCTCAAGAGTTCGCGAGAGCGCGCGACGTTTTGTTTGCAACACCATGTTAGTTTCATCCGTTTTGCGGCGACCCCGATCTCGAAGTTTTTTCCTAAACCTCCATTTCTAAGATTTCCACGAGCGTCTAAGCGACAACACTGTTTGGGAAAATGCGAAGACCCCGCCCAATGAGTGTCAGAGGGTTGGCGGGAATGGGTTGTTCAGGCCCTGGGGATATCTTGGAAATGTGACAAGAGCCTTCGGATGGAGCTCCGCCAGGCGTCGGAGAGTTCTCGCCAAGACTTGTGGGTCGACGTCTATATCTATAGATATATATATATATATATATATATATATATATATCGTAAAAAAAGGTCGGGGGGGTGGGGTGGCCCGAAGCCCTAAGCTGGGCCTGACAAGCCTCAAACCACAGACGTCCCGTGGATTGTCTGTGTTCAAACCCTCGATCTCGATTCCTGGGGGGGCGCTGTGGGATTTCAGGACAATCCAGCATTGATCCGTGGCAAAAAAAACAACCCCAATAAAGGGGTCGCGACCGGTGGCGCCGCAGACTGAAAAACAGATCGCTAGATTTGTCAGGGGGGGGCGCGACATCTGCTGCATGAAGCTGATTTCGTCACCGCCATCGCGCGCTCTACTCGACACTTTGGCGCCTCTGGCGCCAGAGGCGCCAAGAAAATCAGCGGCGTGAGCTGACCAGGAACTACCCCAAACTGCCCACTTCGTGCGTCGGGCGATTTGAACTGACTACCCTTCGGATCCTGGTCAATCCGATTCTGGCCCCAGGCTCGGTGCCTACGCCTACGATCCTGGTCCTGGGCCCAGCCGTGATCGGCGAGGTTGACGTCGCCCGGTCCCAGGGGCCACGGGGGGCCAAACCAGGGTTTGTACAAAGCCGGGGAAAATATAACAAAATCAACAACACGACCATCGTGAATGAGTTGCAGACGGCAACGCCGAAAGATAATCATTCAGTGATATTCGCCTTTCAATGTTGGCAGCGTGCGCAGGCGCGCGCCATGGGCCAGGTCATTGATATGCTACACCTTGGCTTGCGCGCCCAGAGGCAACATTGGGAGGCGGACGCCACTTAATGCCCGGGTGCTTTTCCAAGCTAATCCTTCACAGGGCAGCTGGCGTGAGCGGTTACACGTTCTGCCTTGCGGTTTCGTTCCCACCAGTCGGATGGCTAACGTGCAAAACGCAATACAGACGATACGTGTTCCGTAATATTGGCATGCGGATGTCACTTGATGCGACGGGCCCCGCTTGGTCTGATTCAACTCTTTTCGGCTTCCATCCCTGTCCCACTTTTCCTAAAAACTTGTTCACGGCGATGTAGGCCTGTACAAAGGAGGACTGAGGGACACTGTTGGGGGGAGCCCAGCGAGGATCCAAGAAATCCACACGGAGCGCCAACAATGTATGTTTATGGAGTTTTTTTATTGTGAGCGTTTTGTTCGTTGTTTCGACATTGGGCGGAAGGGGGGGGGAGGGGGTCTGGCTCCGGACCTCTGCTCGGTGCGGCTGTTTGGGACCGCGCGTCCTAAGTATGGGATAGGGACTCCACCTGCCCGAAACAGGCGCCAAGAATAGCCAAGATCTACTCCATTGGGGGGGGGGGGGGGCCCGCGCCGATCGGCAAAACAACAAATGAAAGCACGATCGCCTTCTTCTCCTTCTTCGCGTTCCAACCCCTCCCTGAGCCAATTCCCCTCCTGAGGCTGCCCCCGAGGAACCAACCCTCGGAGGGCCCCGCCCCGCCACGAGAGACCCCCCCGGCGAGAGAAAGGCCACGCTTCCCGCCACGCTTCCCGCCGAGCACCTCCAGGCTGCGCCGCTCGCCCCCCGGGAGCTCCGTCACCTGCACCCGCCTTGGGGGAACCACAAAACATACCGACACCACATGCTACGCGCCTCGAAAGTATTCCCCATTCATGGCTTGCACTGAAGGGGTCCTAGCGGCAATGGACAAATTTGGCGAACAAATCCCCCCGATTCTGGTGGCCGGCTGGGTTCCCGGGTTCCCGGTTCCGGGTTCCCAGGTTCCTGGTTATTGGTTCTGGGCCGATTTCGGTGGGTTCCGGGTTTCTGGGTTGCCGGTCGATCTCCTGATCGATCAAGCCGTCCACTGATTGAAAATTTCGCCGGTGTATTATATATATATATATATATATTTAAAAACAAAAAAAACTAGAACCATCGCGCGCGCTTCGCGCGCGCTCAAGTTCTAGCTAGGATAATCGCCATCGTCATCATCGCCATCCTCATCACCATCATATCCGGCGTCATCGTCGGCGGCATCGTCATCATCACCATGACCATCACCATCATCACAATCGTCACCATCACCACCATCAGCAGCAACATCGTCATCACCATCGTCATCATCGCCATCGTCGTCATCATCGTCAATATCGTCACCTGAATTATCAACATAATCATCCTCATCATCGCCATCGTCATCATTATCGTCGTCGTCGTCGTGATCGTCGTCATCGTTATCGTCATCATCATCGTCATCATCTTCATCATCCGCCCACTCCTGCATCACAAGCACCATAAACAGCATCGCCACCATTATTAACAGCATCGGCGTTATCATCCTGACCATCAGCAGCATCACCATAATGATCGTCAGCATCACCATCCTCAACGGCATCACCGTCATCGTCATCATGATCGTCAGCATCACCACCATCACCATCACCACCATCACTCACATCACGATCACCATCATCAACATCGTCATCAGCATCATCATTCCCACTGTCAACATCATCATAATGTTATTCCTCATCATCATCACCATCATCATAAACATCATCATCATCATCATCAGCATCATCATCATCGTCGTCGTCAACTTCATATAGTCGTCATCATCGTCATCATTTTCTTCACTGTCGTCTCCGAAGCTCCCCCGCCGAACTCGAGGATATCTCCGCAGCGTCTTGCATGCCGCGTGAGCAGTATTGGGGATTTAGGTTGTGGGCCTGAGGCCGCCCTGCATAATCATCATTGTCATTATCACCAGCGTCTGGAAGCCTTGCGGGGCCCTTTCGGCGCCTTTTGGAAGCCTCTTGGAGCTTCCTGGGGGCCTCTCGAGGCCTCTTGCGGACTCCTGGGGGCCTCTTGGGAGCTTCTGGTTGGCGAGGGCTCGAAATGTCAGTTCGTGTTCCCCATCTGGGGCTCCTCTTGGAGTGTTCTGGGAGCTCTTTTGGGCCGTCTTGGAAGCTTCCTGGGCCGTCTTGGGGCCCTCTTGGGCTGTCTCGGTGGTCTCGTGGGGGCCTCTGGGCTCGTCTTGAGGCCATCTTTCGGGCCTCTTGGGCCGCCTTGGAGCGTCTGGAAGCCGAACTGGGGAGAACGTCAAAACCCTTCAAAACCCGCTAAAAATCAGTGACGATTTCCTATTGGGCCCCTCCCGGGAGTGCTGTCGAAGACCTGCTGGGACGCTTTGGCAGCTTTTTAACCGTCTTGGAGTGCTCCTGGGCCGCTTCGGACCTCTCTTGGGCTGTCCTGAGGGCGTCCTGGAGCCATTTTAGAGGGTCCTGGGAGCGTCCTGGCGTCTCCGGCGGGGGGGTGACCACGGCCACTGGGCAAAGTGAGGCCCCTCCCTGGTCCAGGACCCCCTCACCATCTATATATATATATATATATATATATATATACATATATACATATATACATATACACATACATACATACATACATACATACGTACATACATACATACACATACATGCATGCATGCATACATACATACATACATACATACATAGATACATACATACATACATACATACATACATACATACATACATACATACATACATACATACATACATACATACATACATACATACATACATGCATGCATGCATGCATGCATGCATACATACATACATACATACATACATACATACATACATATCTATATATATATACATAAACATATATATATATACAGACATAGAAACATACGTAAAACATGTAGGATTGTGCACACAGGTGAAGGACAATCTATAGAAACATACGTACGTCGTCCAAAGCGCCTCGGAAGGCGCATAATACTCTTCCAAGGCGCGGAATCATGTTCCCCGACCGCCTTCCGGGAACATGATGGGGACGACCTCCTGAGGGCCTCCAGTGGGCCTCTTGGGGGCCTCTCGGAGGCCTGTTGGGCTCTCCTGGAGGCGTCTTGGGGCGCGCTCAGGGCCATTTTGGGGCATCTTGGGGGCCTCTGGGGGCCTCCGGGGAGGCTCTTGGGGGCCTCTTTGGGGCCTCTTGGGGCCTCGCGGGGCCCTCTTGGGGACCGCTGGGCTCGCTTAGGCAGTATTGAAGCCCTGTCGGGGCTCTCCTGGAACCGTCTTGGGCGGCTCCTGGGCCATCTTGGGACTCTCCTGGGCCGTCTTGGGACGATTTTAAGGGTCTCTTGGGCCGTCTTGGGGCGGTCTTAGGGGCCTCTTCGGCCGTCTTGGAGCGGTTTTGGGAGACTCTTGGACGGTCTTGGAGCGTCGGAACCCAGAAAAAGCGAGAAGGCCAAAAACCTAGAAATTAGCCTGGCGAAGGACCCAACCATATGCAGTTGAGAGTACCGCAATTGTGAATAGTTATCTTCTTCGGTGGCGCTCCCTATGGGGCCACGAGCCGTATGAGGGGTGTGCCGAAATGCGTGGCAGTGTACACAACACGAACGAAGACGATAGGTCCGAATATGAAAGCTTGAGCGCGTGCAAGTCGGATCGCGAGCGAGTCTGATTATGAATGAATCTGCGCGCGATTGATTCTATTCGCATGAATGCGTGCATGGATACGCCCAGTGTAAATGTATGTATACGACTGTGAACAGTTTGGGTCTGCGTGACTCTCGGTACTCGTGACTCTGAGCGTCGCCTCTGCAGGGGGCTTCCCTGGGAACCCCGACGGCAGCGCCCGCGCGCCGCGACGCCCATGTCGGCACGCCACACACCTGGTGTGCGGGACGCATGCGGACGGCAGCACTGGGGCCTTCGGTGGAGCTCCCTGTGGGGCCACGAAACGTGTGAGGGGTGTGCCGAAATGGGTGTGCGGGACGCATGCGGACGGCAGCCATGGGGCCTTCGGTGGAGCTCCCTATGGGGCCACGAAACGTGTGAGGGGTGTGCCGAAATGGGTGTGCGGGACGCATGCGGACGGCAGCACTGGGGCCTTCGGTGGAGCTCCCTGTGGGGCCACGAAACGTGTGAGGGGTGTGCCGAAATGGGTGTGCGGGACGCATGCGGACGGCAGCCATGGGGCCTTCGGTGGAGCTCCCTATGGGGCCACGAAACGTGTGAGGGGTGTGCCGAAATGGGTGTGCGGGACGCATGCGGACGGCAGCCATGGGGCCTTCGGTGGAGCTCCCTATGGGGCCACGAAACGTGTGAGGGGTGTGCCGAAATGGGTGTGCGGGACGCATGCGGACGGCAGCACTGGGGCCTTCGGTGGAGCTCCCTGTGGGGCCACGAAACGTGTGAGGGGTGTGCCGAAATGGGTGTGCGGGACGCATGCGGACGGCAGCCTGGGGCCTTCGGTGGAGCTCCCTGTGGGGCCACGAAACGTGTGAGGGGTGTGCCGAAATGGGTGTGCGGGACGCATGCGGACGGCAGCCATGGGGCCTTCGGTGGAGCTCCCTATGGGGCCACGAAACGTGTGAGGGGTGTGCCGAAATGGGTGTGCGGGACGCATGCGGACGGCAGCACTGGGGCCTTCGGTGGAGCTCCCTGTGGGGCCACGAAACGTGTGAGGGGTGTGCCGAAATGGGTGTGCGGGACGCATGCGGACGGCAGCCATGGGGCCTTCGGTGGAGCTCCCTATGGGGCCACGAAACGTGTGAGGGGTGTGCCGAAATGGGTGTGCGGGACGCATGCGGACGGCAGCCATGGGGCCTTCGGTGGAGCTCCCTATGGGGCCACGAAACGTGTGAGGGGTGTGCCGAAATGGGTGTGCGGGACGCATGCGGACGGCAGCACTGGGGCCTTCGGTGGAGCTCCCTGTGGGGCCACGAAACGTGTGAGGGGTGTGCCGAAATGGGTGTGCGGGACGCATGCGGACGGCAGCCATGGGGCCTTCGGTGGAGCTCCCTATGGGGCCACGAAACGTGTGAGGGGTGTGCCGAAATGGGTGTGCGGGACGCATGCGGACGGCAGCGGAGGAGGAGGAGAGGAGGAGGAGGAGAGGAGGTGGGACGCGGGCCGTCCTCTCTTCAAAACGAGGACCCAACACCACAGGATGGTTGGGAAAAAAAACAAAAAAATCAACGACTTTGGCTTGTCGGGGCTCTCTTGGGAGGCCTCTTGGGATGCCTTCGGGGCCTCATGGAGCTCTCTTGGAACGTCTTCGGGCCTTCCTGGCCATTCCTGAAGCTATCTATGCGCGTCTTGGAGCGCTCGCGGGCCGTCTTGGGCGGTCTCGAACTGTTCCTGGCGGTCCCAGGGGCCCTCCGGGACGCTTCGGACGCTCCCGGGGGCGCCCTGCACCCCCCATGGAGATTACTGGCAGCGCCCCGGGCCGCCCCCGGGCCCTACTCCGATATATATATATATATATATATATATATATATACACATACATACATACACTGAACAAATAAATACATAAATAAATAAATAAATAAATACATACATAAATACATAAATAAATAAATCAATACCTAAATGAATAAATACATAAATAAACAAATAACTACATAAATACATAAATGAATACATGTATATATATATGTGTATAATATGTATATAGAGAGAGATATGTATACTATACACAGACACCCTTCGACGCATTTTGCGTGTGCCTCCATGTGCTGAGGCCCAGGACCAAGGGCAGTGGACGGCGTCTGTGTAGTTCTTTTCCGGCGGATGTGCCTCTCCCTGGGTGCACTCTGACCGGGACTCCGAGAGGCCAATCCCGCCGCGGCGACGAGGAGCCTCCTGGCAGGCCAAGAGAGGCGACAGCGAGGGAAGGGAAGAAGCATCAGCAACCTTGTCCTCCCTGTCGGAGCAGGGCGAGCTGTGACAACGGCAGCTCCGACCCCTCCCGAGGTCCAAACGCACACCAGTTCTTCGACGGTCCGCACGGGCCTCTTGGATCTGCGCTGGACCACCCTCCCTGGTGCGCGGAGCGCACAAGGGGCGGCGCCGGCAGCGCCGCCGGGGGGCCCGGCGCCTATCCAAAGCACCCGCGCGGAGCTCCGAAGGTTTGTTTGAGCAGGAACCGACCGTCCCGGCATTCCTATAGTCCTACCACGAAATGTTCTTAGCGGCCAAAAATGTTTTAAGAACAAAGACAATGTTCTTAGAACATAGACCCGATGTGGTCAAACAAGACAGACTCCGCCAGAAACGTTCTTAAGAACATCTCGTGGAAACCACCAAAGGTTCTTAGAACACTGTTTGGTAGGGCTGTAGGCGAGCCAGGACGCTTCGCCACTGCTTGATATTTTTGTGCCCGTGCCGTGCTTTCTTCCCTCGACGCCTGGAGTGCCCGCAGCCCCAGCCGCCCACGTCCCTGTGCTCGTTGAGCTGGATGCGCTGCTGTCCCCCCAGCGCCGGCGACCCGCCTGCGACCGGCACCGCCACGCCGCAGCCCAGCAGCGTGCTCTTCACGTGCCCCGGCATGTCGTCCGGCCCCTCGCAGGGTCGGCGGGCATCACGTCGTCGCCGTCGCCGTCGTCGTCGTCACTTCAGCAACTCCGGAACTCCGACAAAAAGATGTTCGTGCACGACTCTTGGAGGATCGGGCGGCCGGGCCGGATCGGAACGTTGACAGCCCCAAACCTCCTCCAACGCCTCGAGAAGCTCAATGCGGAAACTTATCACCGTTCTTGGCCTCAAGGAGCCCTCGTCAAGCCCTGGGACTATTCAAAACGACTCCGGACGAAGAGCCAGAGGTCCAGACCTCCAGGGACCCGGCCTTTGAGATACTCAAAACATCGACTGTCTGGGACTGGACCGGGACGCACCAGCACGCGGTCGAAGATCGGACCAGGCCAGCCGCGCCAGGAAACAACACAACAGCGCCGTGCGGGCATCGGTAGCGCATCGGCCCATCGGAACATCGGAATCGAATCGGATCGGGCGAGATGGAATCGACATCGAATCGGATCGACATGGGCCCTAAGCAACATACCTCGGCTTTCGGGCCATGACTCGGGCCTCTGGCGGACGTTCGGGACGATTCGGGCACCACCGGAACGCCATCGGCGAGGCGCAGCTGCCGGAACGCATCCCGAGGCAGGGGTAACCCCTAGGATCCGACGAACCTTCCAAAAACCTCTCGAAGCAGCAGCAGGGGGCGTGGATGGAGCTTCTTGTCGCCTCGTGAGTGTGTTGGAAGAACTCGTCGTTCCAGCTCTCGGGCACCTAAGATGCCTCCCAAATGGAGTCCGAGTAGATGGGGCCAGAGAATCGCGCTGCATCGTCGACGCATCGGCGATACATCGGCAATGCAGCGGCGACGTCGGCCACGCATCGGCGACGCCCGCGTAGAGAACATCGGCCCCCGCATCCGGCCGCGTCGGCGATGCCTCGGCGACACGGCGCGATCCGCCGACCCCGCCTGCTCGGACCCCCCCCTGGGAGGCCCCTAAGGTAGAGCACCACCGCCCGCATGGCCGGCTCCAGGTCGGCCCCCGCCAGGCTCAGGGAGGCGCTGGTGTGCTTCTCGCTCGGAGGGCGCCCGGACTCTGGTTTGCGCTCCTGTGCACCGCTCCTGCTGGCCGGGCCGGCCCCTGTGCCTGGGACTTCGGTGCGTGCGGAGGGGCCCAGAAGCACACACACACACACACACACACACGGAGAAAAACCTACGCCAATCCTGTGACCCCCCACATTTTCTCGCAACTTCTGGATGTTCGCCGTCCTCCCCCCTTCCCCCACCTTTCCCCTTTCCGTGTTTGCCCCTAGGGGATCGAGCGCTTATCTGCGTCGGTGTCGAGGTTCCCTTCCGAGTAGGTGACTTCCCCGCCAAAAAAACTAGAGAGCGCGACATGGATGTGCTTGCCAGCGTGGCCCCAGAACAATCAGATGTTGCACTGTGGATGCGTAGGCTAAGTACGTGGTGCAAGCTAATTGGTGCAAGCCATGTGTAATGTATGTGGCGCGAGCAATTGCCACCAGCACTTTAGGGCGTGAGTGGTTTAGGGAGCTTCCTCTCCCACCCCACCTCCCCTTTTCCCCTTCGGGGAGGATTTTACCCCTCCCCCTCCCCCCTCCCCCTGGGTCTGGAGGGGGGGGGGTCGGAAGGGGTTGGAGCGTCAAATATGGCCTCGGCGAGAAGGCCAAACTCATTGATGTTACCCAGAGTTGGCCTCCTGCGGGGACGTTAAGCACCCCACACTTCTTTGATCGATCACCTCCAAGACGGCCCCAAGATGGCCCCTGCGACTCCCATCAGTGCCCCATGAGGGCCCCAAGAGGCGCCTAGGATGCCCCAACATGCCACCAAGATGCCCCCAAGAGACCCCCAAGAGGCCCGAAGAGGCTCCCCCGAGGCACCAAAGACGCTTCACGAGGCCCCCGGGACCGCCACGAGGCACCCAAGACCTACGAGAAGCTCCCCGGGAGACATCCGAAGAGACTCTGGGATGCCTCCAAGAGGCCGCTGGCCTTTATATTCGCCCTCCTCCTCCGCCTCCTCCTCCTCCGCCTCCTCCTCCTCCGCCTCCTCCTCCTCCTCTTGCTCCTCGTGAACATCCGCCTAATCCTCATCCTCCCTACTCTCTATTCCCTTCGCCCTCCTCCCTCTCCCCCCATCCCCCTCCTCGTCCTCCCCCTCCTCCTCCTCCACCTCCTCCTCCTCCTCGTCGTCCTCCTCCTCCCTCTTTTCCTGATAGATAACTCCTCCCTGTCGCACCCCGAGACCGTTCGAAAGGGCGGACCAGGCGTTTCGCTAGAGACTTCCTTGCCACTCATGACCCTGAAGCTTCACCATCGGCAACAGCTTCACAGATGAAAGGTGGGCCGCTTCCAAAATGTGGATCTCGCCTTTGCACAGCACACACTCGTCCGAAACATTCGCATGAGCTTCACATATTGAGGGCGGGCCATTTTCAAAATGTGGCTCTCTCGCCCTTGCGCCGCGTACGTTCGTCTTTAACCAAATGCGCGAGTGCATGGAATTGAGGGCGAGTCAATTTCAAAATGTGGCTCTCGCATTAGCGCCGTGCACTTCCGTCTTAAACATCTACAAGGGCTTATCGGATTGAAGTCGGTTCTTTTTCAAAATATAGCTCTCGCCTCAGCGCTGCGCACATTCGGTTTAATATTTGCAAGAGCTTCACTGGTCCCCATGGTTAGCGTACCAAAAACGGTGCTCTGAAACGATTCAGGACAGTCAGGGCGCAACAGTTACGTTGATCTCCAATATTGAAGTCCCAGGATCGGTGTTCTGGTACGATTCATGATATTCCAGAGAAGGTGCGTTGGCACGCTTCCAGGTCTTAAAACTGTTGTCGTCCCTCAGTGGAAATGGGTCCTTGTAGGGGCCTGTGAAAACTGAGCTTAAGGGAAGGATGGATTCCAACATGGTTGATGAATCGTGGGTTTACATTGATCCTCCTCCCCATATGGTTGCTCCTCCATCCTCCCCATCGGGGGGTATGACGTCTTCCTAGCATGTATTAACTGCATGCTCCCCCACATGCCTGATCAGGACAACTCGCCTGGGCATCGTCTCGGGATGGGTTGGTGGGGTAACTTTTTGGTACGCGGGCGCGCGAAGAGAAGTCTGGAATTATGAAGTGCAAGCCATGTGGTAAAAGCTACGTCATGTAGGTGCACGCTATGTGGTGCACGCTATGTGGTGCAGGCTGTGCGATGCAAGCTGTGCAGCAGAATCGACGCGGAGTAGCAGCGTGGTGCAAGCTGTGTGGTGTGAGCTGCGCGGCGTGAGGGTGCAAGCTATCTGGTGTGAGCTACGTGTGCAAGCTACGTGGCAAAAGCTATGGTTAGGTTGGGCATGTCCCCCTGCAGGCGGATTGTGGACGGAAAAACAAAACTACCCAAAACCTAATCCTAAAAATCCCAATAATACTCAAAGAATCGTCACCCGACAATTGTTTTACAATGTTTGAGTATTCCCCCTGTCGAAAAACAGGCCCGACTCAGGACTGTGTGGCGCAAGACGTGCGGCCGCCCAGGCGCACGAGGCGCCCACGACGGCAGCCACGAGCGAGCGCCCAAGCCCGGGCACCAGGCGAAACCTCGGCCGACCGACCCGCCCAGCGCCCGAGGCGCCCGCGAGGCGCCCGGGGGCCACCCGACTCTTTTTGTTACTACTCTTGACTATTCCTCCTGTGGAGGGACAGGCCCGACTTAACCACAGACGCCACAACGGACGGGCACCAGAGTGCCTTCGACAACCGCACCCTAACCCCGACCAAGCGTCGATTCTCATGGATCGATGGGAGGCGGCGATAGGGCTCGGCTTTCGCCACACGGGTTCGACGAGTTCCGAACCCTACCCCCGTCGCCTATCGAGCTGCCCGAATCGTTGATCGGAGAGGGTAGGGCTCGGATTTCGCCGCCGAAGGGCGTAATCGGCGTGGGTGTAGAGCGGTGCCCTCCGACTCGTGCACCAGCAAGGTGCCGGCAGCGTCGCCACTCCGCTCGCCAGGGGACAGGCACGCCCTCTTCGGCGACCGCGCCAACGCAGTCTCGACCTCCTTGTCGATGGGGTGCCCGCAGCGGCGGCCAGCGTTGAATGTGAAGTCCGCCTGCTGGCATGCCCAATGTGGGCACGGAGCAAAGTGCGAGGCGGGGCATTCCACACATCCGTCCGCCTGGAGAACCAATGTCCTGGGACTCCAGGGGGCGGTGGATCTAAATACGCTCCCCCCCCCAAGCCAGGCCTGGAGTAGATCCAGATCCACCGCCTGCCGAGCTGCCCGAAGATCGATCCCCTGGGCGGTGATTCAAAAGAAGTCCGCGCCTCGGAACAGTGGGTACGGTGCCCAACAACAGACGCTGCCCAAAAACGGCAGTGGACGCTGCTGGGCGCAAGCGGCCTCCTGTCCCAAGCGGGCAACGTCCGCGGCGGCACCGGCAGCGAGCCCCGCTCGAAGTGGGCAATGGCTGCTGTCGGTCTTCGTCCCCATTCTTCCTGTACGCATATCAATCCACGCGAGCAGGATCAGTCGGCAACGACTCGGAAAATCGGATCGAATTGGATGTGCGTCGGATCGGGCCGCGTCGGCACGGAGCCGAAACCGACTCGGATCGGCTGCACAACAGCGCCGCGCAGACATCGGGCCGCATCGGGTCGTCGGAGCACATCGGGGTTGAGACAACGGCAGCTCCAAGTCGGTTCCCCTCCCGGGGTTCGAATGCATCAGTTTTCCGAGCTGCGACTAGCCGCGGCAACGAGGAGGTCCCCCGAAGTCCAACTGTTGTTGTCTCAACAAGCCCTCCTCTGATCAAATCGGCCTCCGGGCCTGGAGTGGGCGTGTCCTCAAATCCATTGCCTCATCCTCTGAGCCTCAGTCCTCAGTCCTGGGGCGTTTCTTAGGGGCCCGGACCCTACATTCTCAAATTTCTTGGGGCTTCCCGCATGCCATCTGGACTCCCCCGCGTCTTGTCGTATGACGTGTTCGGGCCCAGGACGACCCCAAGATGGGCCAAGAGAGCTCCAGGAGGCCTGCAAGACAGCCCAAGAGGGTCCCAGGTCGCCAATAGATCGTTCCAGGCCGCCCCAGGTGACCCCGAGACGGCCCAAGAGGCCTCTACCAAGAGGCAGAAGCAATTGATTCCCCTTAGGGCTTTGAAGGATTTGGGCGGTCTCGCCTTTTCGGCTTTCCGACGCACCAAGACCGCCAAAGAAGCCCCCAAGACTACATGGGCTAAGAGCGCACCAATACGGCGCAAGAGGCGCCAAAGACGGCCCAAGAGGGCCCTAAGACGGCCCCAGAAGGGGCCCAAGAGAGGGACACGACCCGAAAATCCAAGCTTTCCGCCCTCAGAGGCCCCCAGGAGTCCCCAAGAGGCGCCCTGGAGGGCCCAAGAGACCCTCAAGACGCCCCCAATAGACCCCAAAAGGCCCCCGCCTCCAGGAGGCCGCCAAACTGCCCCCGAGAGGCCTCCCACGAGATCCCACCGAACATCCAATAGGCTTCTTACCCACAACCCAAGCGGCGGGATGGGCCGGAGGCCATTCGACAAGCTTCTGGAGCTCCGCGCGGACATCTTGGAGCTGCGCTGGGCCCCCCTCCCTGGCGAGCGGAGCGCGCCTGGGGCGGCACCGGAGGCGTCGCCAGGGGGGCCCGGGGGCCCAGCGCCGATCCAGGAAATCCGCGCAGAGCTCCGAAAGCTTGTGCGCTATGCTGCTAAGTCTGCTGTTCTTTCTTCCTCGATTCCTCAGGATCGATCCAACTCGCCCTTCCCTCAGGACCCATCCACTCGGAGTGGGCCCTGCCTGGGTAGCCTCGCCGGACGCGACGGTGATGACGAGCTCTCCCGCGGCGTCGGAGTTCAGGCGCGCGAGATAGACACCCTGCCACGTCCCGAAGCTCAGGGCGCCAGACGTCACCTGGCAGGGCGCCAGCCATACCAGAGGCCTCCCAAAGGAGCGACGCCAATGGGGGGTCTTACCCGAGGATGGCGTGGCGGGCTTACGC